ATGACAGCTGTCAGAAATAAACAATGACAGTTTCCAAAAAAAATAAAAAAAAAAGAAGTAATACAGAATCGTACCCATCATGATCCTGATTCTAAACTGGGCACAGCACAAGGAGAGTATAAAGACAGGAAAAAGGGGAAAAGTAGAAATGGAAAGGAAGGTACTTGGGAGGAAATAATGGCAAAGGTGTAAGGGAAGAGCTGTGAAAACTGAGCTGCAGGGGCTTCATTTCTTCTGCATCCAGCCTGATTAAGTAATTGGGAGATATTCAAAGCAGTGAAAATGAAAGACAGCTATATTTAGAGCCATCCTTCAGTTCATTTCCTATAGTCTAACAAGTGTGTGATTGTTGGGGACGAAGAAAAGAAGCATTTTATTTTTAGTTAAATAAAATTAAGCCAGCAAAACAACATTTTTAAGGTTACAGGTATCTATACTGCCATCTGTCTAGAACGGTTTGAAAACACTAACTACAATGGATATCTCTAACTGGTGAGAAGTTCCTGTCACAAGGTTTCAGGAAGAATACTGCTGACATAAACCCACGTGTTGGGAACTTACCTTAAGCGTCGTGGTATTCTCATCATCTGACCACTGTTAAACATAAGAACAAATCAAAGGTCACTGCTTTCCTGTGACATCCATTATGATTTTATTTATAATTATTATAAATTTATCTATAATACTGGAAACTATAGAGCTTCCTACAACATGTCATCATTGCCCTGTTTTTTCTCCAGCATGATATCATTATTCTCTAATTATTATGGTTATAAATTAACACAGAAAAAAATGCATATATCCAGCCAAAGTACTGTTGTAAAGTACGGATACAAGACAACACCTATATATTTTAATTATGATTTATGTTGCAGACTTGTACATTTCAGAACTCAGTCTAAACCTTGTCTGCACCTCCCTTACTTCCATCCTTAGACCCACAATCTGCTAATGTTACTTATATTTCTCTTTCTCATCCTTTTTGCACCTTCTGTCACCTTGCATTTATAACATTTTTCAGTGTTTTTTATTTCTGGAATACCCCTCAGAGGCCTTACAGACTTTCATTGTTTCTTGAAGTAACTCCTAATTTTCTGGGACATAAAACCATCTTAATTTCATTTCCAACATCCTTCAACATTCCTTGGTCATTATTAGAAATATAATTATCAAGAAATTAAAAACAAAAAAAAGCTGTGTGCGAAAAAGCAAACATTTTAAGCCTTCCTTGGCATCATGTTTGTGTTGTCAATCATGATGTTTGTTAATTTTTTTCAAGGCAAACAGTGTGTGATTATTATTTTGGTGAAGTACTATCCTCACCTATAAAGCATGCAGAAATATTCATGTTTTTCTCCAGACACCCGACATTAACTTGTGTTTTACACTGACCTGTATTTCCTCTGCATCGTCACTCCCTTCTTGAGCATGAATTGGCGGATCTTCTCTAAACCAAAAAAGTAGTAGGAAAAAAATTGAGCACCAGAGTTTGACTTGATCATATATATTACACTTCCACAGCATCTACCAGCTGTTGATCTCAAAATGTTTTCATAAGAAGATTAAGCCTCAAACCCCTGGCAGAGAAAATCAGAGCAAGCCAATATAGAATAACTGAGGACAAAACTCCCTGGCATTAGACTTGAGCCCTATCCAAAACACTTTGATTCTTTCCAATTAGCGGATCATGTCCTGCTCTGAAAAGACCATAATTTAAGCTTTTCAACACCTTATTAATCATTCTTTTAATTTGTGCTACTGGGTGAGTACAGCAAAGTTAGAAACTTAAAAAAAAAAAAAAAAAAAAAAAAAAAAGATCAACTTAAGTTATGCTTTGCCTCCACACTCTTTTTCCACGTAAAACTTTATAAAACTTGTTTGAAATGCTGACCTGTGTATTTCAGGTTCTGAAAATAAAACTTCCTCACACTCCACACACAGAAAAAGAGGATCATACTGAAAGTGATTACATAGCCATTAACTTCTTACTGGGAAGCTCCTTTTTCTCCACATATGAGATCTGCTCTTGCAAACATTAGCATACGTGGGGGAAAATACTTGGCTGCAAATATTCCCTTTACGTTTTACATTACTTTTCAAGTTATTTGGCCAATGTAACTGAGCGTGAAGATCTTTTAAGGTAGAAGACCAAGCTCTTGAAAAAGGCAAGTCAGCATAGCAAACAGGGTAAGCTCAAACGTACATCCTTACAACTAGGTACTGATAGCAAAAAGTCAATTCTTCAACAAGCTACATTTCTGCAGTTCCGTAATGCACTTCCACAGGGATCAAATTGTCGATTCAATTTTTGAGATACAGAGCTCAGATAGTGGCTCACTGAGGTTTAAAATTGATGTTGGCCTTGACTGTAGGAAGATCACATTAACTTCTAGCTAAGAAAGTTCAACTTAATAGAAAAACTGGGTTTTAAATTGGACTTTTAAATTAGAACTACCTTAATATAATTTAATTCAATTATAAAGCTGTCCATTTTTCCACTGAAGACAGCAGAAATTGTTCATATGGAATAGCTGTGAACTCACGTCCTCAGTTTTAACTTTTCTGAAGTCTGATTACAAATTAAATGGCTGTTGTTAAATAGATTACCAAATTCTGCAGAAACAGGTGACAGTATTGCTTCTTAACCAAATTAGTTTAAAAAAAAAAAAAAAAATTCTGACCTTTCATCTCTACAAGGTGTTTAAACAGCTTCAATTTTGTACAGATTGATTCCTGAGAAATTAGGCCTAGCTCCCTTATATCCACAGTCTAATTGGTTGCCCTGTGAGAGTCAAACTACCCATCAGGAAATGACAAAGTGTGGACTGTATTCTGAGCCTGATCATTAGCAAGATATATTTGTGCAATAATCATTTTACAAGGAAGACATATGGTGAGATTCTAAGGAGAAAGCAAAGAACAAAGCCTGGATTCACATCAACTGTTTTTCACTGGTACCTATCTCACTCTTCTACATCCAAAATCTTGGCATAGGTATACATACAGTACATTCAGCCTCTTCGTAGGCACTGACTGTATGTAAACAAATGATTATATAACCTCAATAATCAGTAAGATTTTTGTACTTGGCTTATATTATTGAAAATTAAACTCAAGTAATGACATTTCACCCCTGAATAAGGCTGCAGGCATGGAAATGTTGTGGCACTGTTCAAGCCACTTAACTGGAACTAACTGTACCAAGGCAACCAAATACAAATCATCAGGCTGTGCACTGAATCCTGAGAGACTAGGAGACTCTGCAAGGAAATAATAATAATGATAATGATAATAATAATAATAATAAACAACTTTTTATTTTGAAAATAAAAGAATCAATCAAGCACATTGCATGGATTTTAGGAGCTGTTTTAGGCACTAGCAAGTCAAGCTTTGCTGACAGCAACAGTCTGCCCATGCACATGTTCATACAGTATGAGGTTGACTGCAGCCAGACTGGTCAAACATACAAAACTCCTTATGCAAATTATAATACATATGAATACAAAATACCATTGTGATTATAAAATAGTATTAATACTTGCACAGTGGAAGGGAAACAAACTTTACCTTCCAGAAACCACAAGCGTCCCATCATCCAGCAGGTATTCTTTCACATTATCTGGGAGGGGAAGTATAACACTGGGAAAAAAAAAAGAGAATGAGTTCAGTAATTTATTATTACTTGCTAAAATAACAAAGAGTTGAATAAAAATAATAGTTTTTAAATGGAACGTATCTCAGTATCAATGTTTTATTCTCTAACGCTATGAAAAAACACGTTTCTCTTGCTCCCCTCCCATCCTTCACAAAATGCAACTCTCTTTTTCCTTTCAGGGAAGTAAAGGAGAAAGCGACAACCATCTCAGACAAAGTGCACAGAAATACTCCACTCCTTCAAACTTTTAAAAAATTCAAAGACTGCATGTGGCCAGTGAGGAGAGGAGCAGCGTGTTGTTCAAAACAAATGTTTCCCTTCTAAAATCCAAACCAAAATTTGCCTTTATCACTTGAATGTTCAAAAAATGCGTGACTGTTGCTAAATTGACCAAAAACCTACACTGGCTAAACACTAAAGTGTGTAAAGATTAAATGTTTTGGTTACCAAATGCCTGATGTCACAGCTTTCTGACCCACCAGGGCACCTTTCTCGAGTTTGACTGCCCTGAGCTGCTGGTGGGCCTCATAACCCCTGGGTAACCTGCAGCAGCACCTCAGCAACCACAGAAGCTGCTACTTTTTCCAAAAAAATAAAAATAAACAGGAACTTGAAGTTAACCACTTGGTTTGAGGGCACTCAGCCTGTTTTTTTTGAGCAACCAAGTGGGCACAAGGTGGGACGCGGACAGCCTGGGGTCCCACCAGAGCACACTGTGGAGATCACCAGCGCTCAGCCTGCACCTCGGGCCTCCCAGAGCAGCTCCCTGGGGTGGATGTCGAAGGCTCCAGCTCCTGGGGCAGCCCCTGGAGCCTCGATGGAGCCCCCTGTGCTTCCTCCCAGCCATCGCTGCCCCACGCAGGCCCTTATTTCTCACCCAGACCAGCACCAAACACCCTTCCCCGGGTCTAACCAAGCTCTCAACCAAACCCACAGGGCCACAGCCAGCCTCGCAGACGCTCCCCCAGCCTCCAAACCCACACCACCCCTCACATCGCCCCACATATCACCCTACACATCGCCCCACATATCACCCTACACACCGCCCCACACCCCCCTCACACGCCGCCCCACAGGGGCTCCTCCGACCCCACGCACCTACGGATGGTGACGGTCCTGAACAGCGGGTACCACACGGAGAAGCGGCAGTGCGCTACCTGCTCCTTCTTCATCCTCCCCTCGGCCCGGCACGGCACGGCCCGACCCGTTTCGGCCCCTTTTCTCCCCAAAAAGCTCCCTTTCCGCCCGGAACCTCCCCTCCGTTCCCGGAGCCGCCCGGGCCGGCATCGTCGGCGCACCCGACCCGGCCCCGCCTCAGCCGCCGCCATCTCGTCAGCGCCACCCGGCCGTGGCCCTGGTTCCCCAGCTCCCCTGCTGCCGCCGGGCACAGCTCGTACGTGGGGTTTTTCTGCGGGGTCACCCGCTGGGGGCGGCGTCCAGACGCCCTTTCATCCCTTTCCTTAAGTATTTCGCCGGGAGCCGCGGATTTACCCACGGAAATGTGTGTGTTTTTTTTTTAAGCCCTCCGGTTCTGCTCTGCCTTCGAGCCCTTCCTCGGTCCGCTCGGTGCTCTCCGTGCTCAGTTCCATGTTCCACTATTTCCTCTGATCCTTATGATTTTAATTCACCCTCCTCTGCCCCTCAGGGGAGGCTGGCAGCAACACACGGGTGCTGCTAACCCTCTTCTGCTTGCACAAAGCTGCCCTTCTCTTCCCTTTTTTCTTTTCTTCTCTTCTACGTGGCAGGAACCAGTTACTTCTCCACATTCTATTCACTTCTGAGTGAGTGGGTCGTCCATACTGCTGAAATAAGGACAAAAATGAAACGTTTTCCTTCCCTTTTCCCCTCCTCTTAACTTCTGATCAGTTGATTTTGGTGCATGAATCGTGTTGCTGAAATACAGACGAACTTCAGTGCAACCTGGTGACAAAGCGGTGAATAAAAGTCTTCCCAAACTTCAGCAATGTGTGCTTTGAGCACGTATCTTAGCACTCTGCTGGATAAATTGTGCATGAAACACCCACCAGTGCCCCTTTTGCACCTTATGTGGAAGGAATCCTGTCTCTTGTTTGAGCTTAATCTTGCCTTGGGACACTGTTGCTGAGCTTCTGTTAAATCTGGTTGGAGTCATTTGGGATGTGTAGCTTGGATCAGATAATTCCCTCTGAAAAGAGGTTTAGAAAAGCTAATCCATCTATTGTGACTTGAAGAGGTTAACTTAACACCTGGCTACTCTGTAAGCTCATTCACTGGCCCCACTTGGTCTTAGATCTTAACTTTCGGGAAGGATAATGTAGGAACTGATGTCAGAAGGTTGGATATTCCCTCCTAAGGAAACCGCTCAATAAAAGAATAAGCAATGGGCATAAAGTTATACCTTTTATACATGGTATGACTTTTTTAGGTCGGAATTTGAGCCATACATGAGGCAAATGGAACAAGTAGCACAATTTGCCAGCAGTATCCTGGGATACTAACCATGAAAGTCATCAGAGAAGGTAGAAGTGGGCCAACCTTTTTTTTTTTTTCCTATAATTTATAGTTCAAATAGTTTATATTCACACTAAGAATGCTAGTAAATGTGGACATTCTGATGTATTCTTAAAGTTCTACTAATAATTATTAAGTATTTAAATTCATGGACTTCATGTAAGTGGAAGTCACGTAATCAGGTTCCTGGCTGCTGTGCCAGCAGCTTTATGTTTTTTAACTCAAATGATCCCGTGGTAGCTGTATGAGAAAACCTTCCTGTCCAAGGGCTGTGAGACAACATCTGTTCTGAAACCTTACACAGAGCTTTACCTTGCAGCCATAGATTTAATTGTCAGTCACCACTAACGTTAGTGATGTAGGAACTGTGTTGCCTTTGTCTGAGCAGCTTTGACTAATGTGAGATACTAGACCTGAAGCCTTCAATTAGCCAAGTGGTATTTCAGCTTTGTAACTGCAGAAATTTCCAATTCTACACAGTCAGTTGAATTTGGAAAAAAAAAAAATTTGGTAGAACTTTTTAAAATGTCGCTCATGTATAGTGTTATTGCACCCACTAGTGGAGAAGATCTTCAGTACAGAACCCGAGATGGATGAGTCTCATTTTCACTTAGTGCACATTTTCATGCTATTTCAATCTGAAGCCATCTTCAATAATTCCTTGTAATTTTAGTCACAAATCATCCTTGAATCTGTCACTGCAGGAGAGAGCAAATTCTGTTGAAAAGAGCTTCTGGCATGAGATGAGCTCCTAGGGTGTATTTGTAATTGATGTGGGTAAGTATTAATACTGTTATACAAAGCATTAATAAAGTTGTATATGACACTTTGAGAACAACTGTGGTAATCTGTTTGAGAGAGATACACAGATACAGTTAATGTAGAAGCGTTATGATGATCAGTGGAATGGGACTAAAAGAGGAATCCAGTCCTAAAAAAAGTTAAAGATCAACACCATTTGCTATCTCCTGTCTTTGATGTGTATATATTGTCAATCAGAAAGCTTATAATTCTTTCCAAACATTGGAGGTGCATTTCTTGTAGATAAGTATGTAAGTTTTCTGTATTTTTGAAGCTGGATATTTAGGGCATCACACAGAGCCTAGCTTGACTGTTTCTCATGGATGACCAGGAGCCTTTTCAAACCAGTATGCTGGGCTGTGATCCTTTTGCATGAGTTTGGTGGAAAGCTTAATATTGTATGTTAGACTCACAGCAAGATACTGTGACTGTTTGCCAGTCACATCTCTTAAATCCTAAGTGAGGAGGATTTGAGTTGGCTTCAGAAAAAATGGGTAACACTAACTGAACTAATTTGGGATAAACGTAACATAAGCAAGTAAGGTCCTAGAACAGTTTTTCATAGTAGTGGTAATGTAGGCAATAAAACTACATAATTTTAAGATGAAGCATCATTTCTTTTAGAAAGGATAATATAATGTAATTTTAGGATTATATATATATATATATATATAATGAATTTTTGAAATGACAGAACTGGATTTAGTAAGTGAGAGTTCCTTTGCAAGTTGACAAATTGAAGACAAAGACAAATTGAAACTTTGACAACCACTACAGTGTACTTCATCCAACAAGACTGTCTTAAGATTTAAGAAGGAGCCTGCCCTTTGTACTTCCTGAGGAAATGGATTTATGTACATTAGTTGTAATCTTTCTGATAACCAGACATAGCTTGTACTGTCTAGTCCTCTGAACTACCTCGTGAAATTAAATACAAATCTTATATGTTAGAAAGCTGATAGAGCTCCGTGCTCGTGTGTTTCACAGACATGCTGTATATTTTATCACAGAAGGATAAAGTAAGAATGAAAGTGCTAAAATTGGGTGTGATGGAGGTGAGCACTCACAGAAGATAGTGTTTGTTGCTAGAGAATCCTTATTAAACTATAGTTGGAGTCAAGGGAAAGGTTCCTGTTGACTTCATGGAAAGATTACAACCTTAAATGAACTCTTGAGAATAGCAGAGATCTCTGAGATACTTTGTTTCTCCTGGCATCTAAACTAAGTTGCCTCTTGGCGCTATCTTTTTACTTCAAAATAATTTTCAGGACTTCAGTACGGCAACATAATATCAAAGATGAGCTTCCTTGGAATAACAGTTTCTGTGCTGGGAGTGCCTGCACACCTCAGCAGAGAGACAGGGCTGAGGCAGAGCCTTGCTTTGGGCACATCCCACTGCCTTTTGCATGGTGTTGGCCACGCCGTTCCTAGTAAGGGAGACTGACGTGCTTGGATCACACTAACTCCACGTGCCACCTCGACTTGCAACACACGGGTGACTTTTTGACCTTGGAGTTTTTTGGGGAAGAATTGAGTCATTTATGTACATATCTGTGATGTATGTAGCTTCTGGTTCTGATCCTTTCTCAACAATGTGCAACTTTTACTCCTGAAAGTCCTTCTGGTGTAAGTTTTTTTTCCACTTTGACAGTGGAGTGCTTAGACTTGTTGTGCCAATGCTGCCCTGACACTTCACTGAGCAGGATGAAACAATTCTGCTAAATGGATCAACTTTGCTTCTGTGTGTGCCTGACCTTTGAACAGGTAAGGAGGGTACCTTCAGCCAGCACAGCTACTCCACATTTGATAGGACTGTTACCAACTACGTAAGTCTGGGATTTGACCCAGACTTCCTTCAAAACCGTCAGGTGGAGCTGAAAACATGAATTGCACTTGCCATCACATGCTGTTAACTTTCTCTGGCAAGCTTGATTTGTTAATTTAGAATGCAGCAATGAACCTTTTAACTTTACTCTGAAAGCAAATATTGACTTTGTTTCATAGTAGTCTGGACTTTGCACAGGAGGGGAAAAGCCTGACATTCCTGAAAATGGCAACTGAGACATCCGCAGAAGTTCCGAAAACTCCTAGGCAATTCGTCCTTAAAGAAGAGGTATAGCATGTTTCATTTTGACACGTTTTATTGCTAAATAACAACTAGCTGAGACAGGTCAGAATGTTTGTGGGTGCAGAATAAGAAATATTACAGATGCTGTAGGTTTGGAAAATCTGTTCAGGCAGAACACTTCTTCCTGATGGGCAAAGAGTTTAAAGAAGGTGACGTGGATGAGGAATACGTACTTCTTTTTGTGAAACAATCTTACAAATTAGCAAGGAGAGGGAGAGAAACCAGTGCTCAGTTTTTTTAAGCTTCTGCTTCTTTTCCTAATTTTATAGCTGTTTGTTGTACTGTCTGTTCAGGCTGTTTTTAATATTAAGAAATAACATTGATTTCTCTCAGAGACTTTAGAAATGGGTAGATTGTGAAAACGTTGTCTGTTCCTCGAAGATAAACCTCTAAGAGTTGCCTTAACATTTAGGATTTGACCTTCTCTGATGTTTTCTGGAGGGATTTGTATTTAGATGATCGCTGTTCTAAAGGCATTAGTAAGGAGGCAGTAAGATTTGTCAAAAACACATAGTTGCATTCTATTTTTACAGAATCAGAAAATATCAGGTCTTCAGAATGGAATTCTGAGGCACTTCTGGATGCTTTTTAGGAGCATTTTCACCTTAATTGAAACTACAAGTTTTTTTAGACCTTAGCACATGGTGTGCTTTTTTGTTGTTGGTGGAGGTGGTGTTTTTTTTTCCAGGTAATACTTGAATTTTATGTTCTTTTTCTTCGTCATACCTCTTAGGTTTTCTCCTTTGCACTCTTCAGTATCAGAAATTTTTAACTAGATCTTGCATCTTCTGAGCAATTTAGCCTTTTCAGTCATTTTCTGGGCATAAATGAGGAGAATGTGTACCATGTGTCTGCCAGTCACCCTTACCTTGAAAGTGTTTTGGTCTTCAGCACCTGTGTGGCTTGATGTTGGAGAATCTTCTTCTTTTATGAATGTAGCTGCTGATCTTACTTTCTTCTTCCTGCTTCTGGGAACCCCCTGTCAGGCTATTGTGAGCAAAAACATCTGGTATTTGCCCAGCAAAGTAATAGATCAAGCCATAAAAATTGCTCGTTCTAAAACTGAGTATGGTTAGTAAAACACGCCCTGAAAAGTGCCATTGGGCCCTAAGTAAGATGTTCTGCAAGGCAAGAATTATGTTTCTAAGCCAACTTCCAAGAGATTTTAGTTGTGCACCTGACAAGGTGGGTGACAAAAAACTTTATTTTACTCCTAGGGAAACCTGGCAGCTTTCAGTTTTCTCACCCTGTAGGCAATTAGCAGCAAGGCTTTCACCTCACTTCCATTGTACATATTTATGCTCCATGGCCTAGAGTACTTTTTAATTACAGTAGAGGCCAAAAGCTGTACTTAAGAATACCAGATGAAAAACAAGACACTTTGTTTGGCACTGTTTTGTATGCCTAAAATCTATATTTTGTCCTTCTGTTGTCTTTTTGGAGTTTGTGTAGGTCAAATCTCTTACAGAGTAGTGATTTCTTTTTCCTCTGGGACTCCTGGCACCTGATGTTTTCCTGTTTTTCATCCATTTTACCATTTCTGCTCAGCAAACAATAACTTGGCAACAGTGGTAGTGATCTGCCAGTTCTGTTGAACACTGCAACAAACTACAACCAATAGCCTAGCCCTTTGTGTTCTCTGCAGCATTTAAAAAATTCATTAACACAAACATTTGGCTGTGTTTGTTTCTTCAACTGAAGCATGTAGGTTCTTCTCCTTGGACAACCAGCGGGACGTGATGTTCATCTCTTTTAGGTCTTCCTGTACTCTCATTCTGCAGTGACCTAGGACCGAATGCAAAGCTATTTAAAATATATCTGAATGATACCAGGTGGAATTATTTCTTGTAGCAGACATCATAAACTTCCTGCTGGTTTCATGACCACAAATCCATTAGAAAGCCCTTCTGAGAGTACATAGCTTTCCTCTTCAGTTCCTGCTACCTAGAAATTTACTTCCCAAAACAAATGCCAAAACTCTCTCCGTGTAAAATACGTGTGGCCACATTTACAACCATAGAAGCGCTACTGATATTTCAATATCCAAATAATTGTTCTGAAGAACACAGATTAAGGACTATGTGAGTTTACTCAGTTTACTGGACACCTGTGTCACTTCCAGTTTCCATTCTGCATCCAGCCGAAGCTATTTTGTGCTTCTGTACTCTGGTTTTAGCTGTGTCACATACTACAGTTCATTTCTACATATTTGTTGGTTTAGTTGGTCAATCTCTCAGCTTAAGTTCACAATTCACATGGCTACTCACGTCCTATTTGCTCTTTGTCCTGCACTGGAGGATTGTAACTTGGCTGTCACATGAATAGCCTCTGGAACTTCATTCTTTGCTACAATTTCGTTTTCTTTTTTTTTCAGAGCCTCTTTTGGCTTTTCTTGTACAGCCCCCATTGCGCTCAGCAGTATGTATTGTTGGACAATAGAAAGCAATTTGTTCATCTTGCCGATTATTCATGATCTCTGTGGTCAGCCCAATGGCCAACTTGTTACAAAATTCTGGAGGCAAGCTTCTTGTCTGCCTATACAATTAGTAAGGCTTAAAATACAAGATATGCTAAAAAAAAATATAAGCTGAAAGCTTAACACACATACTTTCCCCTTTTAAAGGAATTACATGAAAGATAAGAAAACATCACAGGGCAAAAAAAAAAAAATCATTTCGCTCAGAACAGACAAGCTCTAATAATGCTGAGCACCCAATCAGTAGCTCTCAGAAATCCTAAAAGGTCAGGTATGCATGCATGTGAAAAGGGCTCTCAGTTACAGAAGACAACAGTGACTCGAGGCCATAATAAAGGCCAAAAAAAGTTTCAAAATAGTTTGGTTTTCAGTCTTACCTTAGCTATTTCATGTATAGCTGTTAGGGCATGCTTTCTGATAAATGGCCTCTCAAATCTCTAGTATAGCTAAATTCTATGCAGACAAGATCCTCATTTTAAGCAGGAACTTGACCTTTGCAAAGTTCTTCTCAGAAGATGAAGGGGATGGGACTTTTTCCTAAATTAAATCCTAATGAATTCATTGCAACTTGGTTATGAAAGTCCAGTTAAAGGAATTTACCAGGCTTATTTTCTATTCCAATCCAAGAACATGGCAGAAGTGTTTTTTTCCCTACCAGCTACAGGAAGTCATTAAGTGTTCCTGTGTATATTCTGATAATGAGATTTGGTCTCAAAAGTATTTCAGATGAACTTGTATTGTCTCTTCCCCCAAACCCAAATATATTTGAGATTAATCTTATGATTTATTTAACAAAGAATCTTTTTTTTTTTTTTTTTTTTTTTAGGTAATTGTAGAAAGAAAATGGTTGAAGCTTGAGGAAACAACTTATACTGATCCCAATGGTAAAACCAGGTAATTGCCTTCCTGGAATCTTTTTGAATTCCTATCATGTTCCCAGTTATATGGACCAGCCACAGGCTAGACAGAATAGGAGCACTACAAACCTATTACTCAACAAAAGACAATATATTGTGCAATGTCTTTATAATTTTGCACTGTTCAGAGAAAAAAATCCTTCTCTAGCTAGCATGTGGGATCAAATTTGGCTCCTAAATCTTTTGGGGTGCATTAGGCCTTGCTTTACCTTGCATTTCCACCTCCTCATAAAGATGCTAGGCAGAAGGAAGTTGTAGCAGTGCAGATAAGCTGTGATGATCAGAGAGTTCGTCCTTTGACTTTTCTGGTGCCTCACTAAGGGGTCCTTTTTCCCTGTTGGTGGTACAGAACCTTATATAGTACTGACAAGTTATTGTCCTCTTGTATATTATAACACCTGCCCAATTCTTTTGCATGCTTTAGTTTTGCCACGTTTATCTAGATGTGACACAGCTTTGTTTCCCCCCCTTCACATATTAGATTCCATGAAGTTTGCATTCTCTAAGCGCCTCCCTGTTCATCAGCAAAGTATCCTTTTAAGAAACAGCAAAGATTGGAGCTTTTGTGAATGGATTATTATTGCTGATGGGTTTTTGGATTTTGTTCATTTCGTTGCTTATATCAAGAGGGAAGTTTTGGTCTTCCTTGCCTACAGGCTTCTTTTGCTCAAGAAACTGAGCTGAGAGTTCACAATAACTTAAATTATTAACGGTATGCAAAAGCAAGATAAAAGAATGCACATAATCTTTTTTCAAAACTAACAAAATCTGGCAGGTTTAATACATAAACTGCTTTATTTTTCATTTTTCCATGATGACTTTTATATGACTTGTGTGTTCCATGACAATCATTTATGCCTTTCCCTTGTTTTTAGTGACCCCAAGCAATCAGTAGGTATCTATTTGCTCTCTCCTTTAGGTAGGCAAAACAAAATTATACCTCAGACATCTTATGGAGCCAAAACAAGAGAGGGGGATGCCTAAGGCCAGCTGCTTTCCTACAGAGCCTCTCTGAATGATGACATATTTTGCTTCTAAATGAAAGCAATGGTAGGAGACAACCTAAAAGAAATGGATATTGTTCCTTTTAATACATCAATTTGTTCTTTTCTCTGTGCTGAACAGAACTTGGGAAACCGTAAAGCGTGCTGGCAGGAAAAAGGGAGTTTCAGCCGATGGTAAGATGATGTAAGACTTTGATTGTTTGTAGCTTTTGTGAAATTTCTGATAAACTCACAGAGCAGACTGCGAGACAGTATGGTTCTGAATGCACAAATAGCTCTGCAGGGCTCCCAGCATACGCCAGACCACTGAGCAAGTGTGCTCTGGCGAGATCCCAGCTCGAGAGCTGAAGAATCAGGAACTGACTGGTAGCAGTGTTTTCCCAAGATAATTATATTCCCTTTGTAACAATGGGACAATTTCAGTGAGGGATGCTGTGATGCAGAGCAGCTCACACGCTGATGAACTGGGTCTGCTGTTAGGGACTAGAGATACTCTTCAGGCAAAAGAGGGACACAATTCAGCCACGAAAGGAGCGTAGGTTCCATACTTTGGCATCCAAACTGTCTGCAGGTGTGAGCACCCACCAAGCTACGGGTGGGCTGACGCTCAGTCTTGCTTGGAACATGTCTCTATAATTTGTTGGGGTGTTTTGGAGATCCCAATTGGGGCTTTTACCTCTCCTCATGCATAATATTAGGTAGTTCAGGATTGCAGGGCAGGCATCCAAATGTTTGTCATTTTAATGCAGTGTTACAGTCCGTAGGTTCTTTTTTGGATGCAGCACTAAATACTCACTTTCTTATGCTCAGATATTTTGTGCTTATGTTTTCTGTTGCTGCCTGTAGGTGTAGCGGTGATAGCTGTACTACAGAGAACCCTCCACTACGATTGCATTGTCCTGGTGAAACAGTTCAGGCCTCCAATTAATGGCTACTGCTTAGAATTTCCTGCAGGTAAGTGGTTGAAACATTAAGACAGGTCACATAAAGCTGATAGTCAAGCGTGTCTAGATGTGCTTGGAGTTTCAGTCATAATGAAGTAGCTCTGAGAAATCCATGGTGGTCTCTGTAGCTCAGTGTGCTGCTCAGAAATAAGAATATTTGGTAATGAAGAATACAAAATGAACATTGTTCATTTTAGCAGATGAGAGACATTTCGAAAAAGGAGTCTGGTAGGACAATATTGCATTTCCCTCCACTCTTTAACAGCCACAACATTTGGCTTCTTTCCCTCCTGAGAATATTAACACCATCTTTTGGGAAGGTGGCGTGATGCTGGAGATAATCAGTTGGAGATATGGGCAGCAGCAGCGATAAATCCAGGAACTGGAACCCTCCCTAATGTCTTAGTTTCTTCCTCTGTAAAATGGGGTGACGAGGATGTTTCACCTCATTTGTAAAGCTGCATTAGATCTCAGAATGGATGTTGTGGGTACATGTGTGCTAATTTTGAAGTTGTTCTTGTATAATTATTTATCTTGCAGGCCTCATTGAGGAAAACGAGACTGCAGAAAGTGCTGCATTGCGGGAGTTGGAGGAAGAAACGGGGTACAAGGGGGAAGTTGTTGAATGTACTCCAGGTCAGTGCTTTTTTCTTTTTCTTTCCCACACAAAGCTAATTCTTTCTGATAAATACAACATGCTTTAAACCAAAGGGAAATACATGTCCAGAAAAAACTACACAGATTAGCAGAGTACATAGATGTACCATTGAGACTTTGGTCCTTGGTGAGTCAGTTGCTGGGCTACTGTTAAACATACAGGACTAAAGTAAGGCTGACATCTGTAGGGGAAAACTTTGCTATTAAATAAGCGACTTTACACAAAATCTGTGACTTGGTGAGGCAACTTATGTATGGTTTCAAGTAAATGGTACAATTAAAACTTGACTCTTGACTGGGTATAACTGCATGCTGGGGACAGAGAAGCAGAGACAGGTGGTAGCAAAATGACACTTAATAGGCTGAGGAAGCTTACAGGAGAATTGTAGTTTACAGTTTAATCTACAGTGTATGGAGTGAAAAATAAACTTAAGTGCTGAAAGCACATCTTATAAGGAATCTGGAAGAGATGAGTTACAGAAGCATTACTTTTCACTGCTTCTTCAGCATGAACTTAACAGATATGTTGTCCTTAAAGTATGTTTGGATGGAAGTTTTTGTAAAATGGCAAGGTACCTGACCTCTGCTTTTGAAAATGAACCTGTTTGCTTGTCTGCAGCTCTCTGCTTGGACCCAGGTTTGTCAAACAGCACAACGCACATTGTGAGCGTCACCATTAATGGAGATGAGGCTGAGAATACAAGACCTAAGCAGAAACTTGGTGAGTTTTCTACCATTTATATAGGAATTCTTACACGATAACAAAACTTCACAGGAACTACGCCTACCACTGTGTTCTTCTCTTCCCTCCCTGCTGGTTTAGACTCTGTAAATATATCCTTCAAGTCTCGTGCTGTAGTCTGGAAGAGCAGAACCATGTTTGTTTGCTAAACTCATAGCTGTTAGGTGTCAGGTACTGGCATACCCAAAATGAGAAATTCAGGTGGTAAACTTCAGTGAGAGCCATAAGCACTTGTGAACTTCAATTTTCCTTAGCTGTGGCTCGACCTGGAAGTAAGTATGGTGTCATTCACAGTCAGGTATCAGAACTGCTTTTTTAGTTGTGAACTTTAATAGATTTCAAAACCCTTAACTTGCTTTTTTGTTTTGTTTCTTACAGACGATGGAGGTATGTTACATAATGTGCTCCCAGTGACATTTAAGGTCAAGTGTGATCTTTCTGTGTTTTACTTAGAAAGTGTCAGTTTATGTTTTTTGTTTGGGCTTGTTTAATCTGCTGACCCTAATCAAACATACATGAGACTGACTCTGCCTAGACATGAAAATTCCGGCAGGGTGTTATCACATCAGTTGCATTCAAGCATTGCACTGGTATCTCAAGAAATACAAATTAGTGAATCCACAACAGCTATAATTAATTCAAGTACCCCCCAAACGCAACTAATTTAGACATGCTGGGCAGGTGTAAGCCAATAAAAATTAACCGCTAGCAAACCTTTATTCTTTAGGTAGCATGCTGTTTTACTCTTCAAATGCATCTAAAATCCCTTACTGTACCAGTTAGGTCAGACAGGAGTCCACTTCAACAATATGATATTTTTCCCTTCTCAGAAGGGGGCAAGACTCCTTTTGGGGAGTTCTCACCTTCCATAGCTACCACTTTTTTCCCCACTTTTGTTTAGCCAAATCTGTTTTTAATGACCCCAGTCACTGCCTTCCCTCATATAATGAGCCTTTTTATCATACTCAAAGGTTCACAACTTCTAGGTGGTGATGAGTATTAAGCAAGTTTGTTTCCTCCTGTAGGCTTTAGAAAATAGAACACTGAGACAGACTTCCTCTACTGTCCATTGATTTAGAGGTGTTTAATATTTTCTCTCCTAGAATACGTGGAAGTTATTTCACTTCCGAAGAATGACTTACTGCAAAGAATTGATGGTAAGAGCTTTCTGACACATTAAAAGCACGAATATGAGCTTCAAGAAACCCATAGTATCTCTTCTCATAACTCTCCCTGACATTTCTCATCCTACAGTTCTGTGTCTTAAAAAAAACTGCAGGAGACATGGCCATATGACAGAATTACCGAGAGTCTTAGGCATTAGCCTGAAGAATTTAATTCTAGAATGCTGTACTTAGAATCCCAGAATGGTTTGGGTCAGAAAGGACCTCAAAGCCCCCCCAGTGCCACCCCCTGCCATGGGCAGGGACACCTCCCAGCAGCCCAGGCTGCCCAAAGCCCCATCCAGCCTGGCCTTGGGCACTGCCAGGGATGGGGCAGCCACAGCTCCTCTGGGCAGCCTGGGCCAGGGCCTCACTGCCCTTTGAGTGAAGAATTTCCTCCTTATAGCTAACCTAAACCTCTCTTCTTTTAGTTTAAAGCCATCTCCCTTGTCCTATCATCTGCCTAAGCACATCTTAATTTTAGTAATGAACTTGGAGATTTATGGAGATGGAAAGTCTTAACAGCATCTCATTTTTTTCCCCTCTCCCAGAGCTAGTAGCAGAAGAGCACATTGCAGTGGATGCCAGGGTTTATACTTATGCACTGGCTCTGAAGCGTGCAACAGAGAAACCGCTCCAAGTTCCTTTCATGAAGTTCTAAAATTTCACAACAACAAATGTAGTTGAAAATTGTCCAGTCTAGATGGCTTAGAACATATCTGTTCTTGTAATAAAGGTCCTTTACTTTATGTCCAGAATTGAAAAAAAAAAATGTTTGTTGGAATAATCCTGATATTTTTACCTGGAATTATGTAACTGACAAGAAGTATTTTTCCTAACTGCTTAATCGATCAAACCTTTAGAGAATAATCATAATAAAAACGCTGTTTAATTTTCAAAATGTCTTGCTTCATTTCATGTTCAACTCCATATTTCAGGGGAAGGAAGATGCTTAACTATAGTTGGTGTGGTGGCAACACCCATTCAAAATGAGGAAGAGCGCATTGTGCTTTTGTCCACATGCACAGGCAGCACCATTTAAATAACCACAGGTGATTTTCTGCACTAGAAGCAGCAGCAGCTGCACAAGGACACACCGTGCACACTCCAACGACAGCGTTTGAAAGGCAGTTTCAGGCACTTCTTTTATGATTTAGACCTGAAATTCAGATTCCTTCTTCCAGCCCTAACCAAACTACATGGAGAGAAAATTGGTTAATTTGATCCAGGCACTGTTTAATTAAGAAAATACAGACTCTGATGACAGTAACAAAATATCAGCTGGTGCAAACTAAAACAGTGTATGGCCCCAGTAAGCAGTGCTGCTTAATGTTTGGCTTCCATACACACCCTGAGATCTGCTAGGCTGTGCTTTCTCCAATTCCCTCATGCATCTGCATAAGGAGGTGACAATTTATTTCAATCTAATCACTTCTAGGTAAATCTGCCAAAAAACACCTCTTCAGTGCACAGTCACCTGCATCTAATTATCTAAACAACCTTCACAACTTAAAGGTTAGGGCCTAAAAGTCATCATAAGCCTATGCTCATATCAGTCTTGCCTCTAAAATATATTTGGATGAGCATGCAGAAATAAGGAAGACTTTCCTAACTTAGAAATGAAGTAGAAATCTTCCTTAAGGTTCTCCTACTTTCCCAAACAACACCACAAAGTTACTTGCAAGTCCAAAAGACAAAAGAAATCAAAATGGAAAATTAAAGGGAAAAAGCCAGCAGCTCCAGGTGAGCAGAGAACCTCAATGATTTTAAGGGAAGGAAACTTGAGATTTATTTATATTTTTTTAATTCTGACCAGTTTTCAGCAGCCTTAATTATATTCTAGAAAGCAAAAAACAAACAAAAAAAAAAAAGTGGCCTTACAGGCTTACTAACAAAGCCTGTTGGAAATTACTAACAACTGCACATGAATTATGTACCTTGCACAGAAAAGAGACAGGAGAGAGCTTAATTAAATAAGTTTATTGTCTAACGTTTACACTTGTTACATTGCCGCTGCAAAGGGCGACAACATAAATAAATTTTCAGCAGGAACTCCACGTTCCCCCCGCCTTTCCCTTCTATGAACACTGCTTTAGGAACCAGGCCTTGCTCTTTAGACTCACGAAAGCAAAGTGGACATGAAGTTTCAGTGGCACAGTTTTCACAAGTACATGTTTCAAACAAAACTCTACCGGGCTGACTTGCCAGCGTGACAGCAGCTACCCCGCTGTCTCACAGGAAACCCAGGGCAAGAAACAGCAGTGCCCCGGTCCTTGTGATGCAGCAAATCCACCACCAAACCAGTGCACAGGTGAGATGAGTATCAGTCTCTGGTAAAAACATTTGCTCGCCCACCCTTAGAGCTAAAGGAAAGGTGCCTGGGTGGAGACACCGCAAAGGAATAAGGAGTGCTGTGTTCAGTGATGGGGAAATGCAAGTTAAAAAAGTATAAAAATTAATGTAAAACACAGGCTACAAATCAATTTTGTTAAGAATACTGACACGTGGCAATCTGAATGGAGACTTCTTTTTTTTCCTATTAAGGACTGGGAAATAAATTTAACATTTTAATACTGTGCAAAAATGTTTACCAACATCGAGCTGATACATTTTACCATCTCACTGTAGTGTTTCAACAGCAAGGTAGATGAATTGGTTTCCAGCATTACAGGCAACACTAGATATACTTAAACGAGATAATGTAAACTTTATTCTTAAGGCAGCTGGTACTGATGCTGCACACAGGCATGGCTCGATGCCCGTTACAGTAACGGGACAGGGAGCACTTTAAAACAAGTAAAAAGAAAAGAGCATTATTGGACTAAGTGACGCATGTTGTCAAAATACTTTCCCTTTCACACAAACCATGAAATGTTTGGACATCTAGAAAAATAACGCGCCTACTCCTCCAACTTCGGCTTGTTCTTTTACAAATATTTCAAAGTACTGATAAATAATGGTGACTGCAAGCAGAATGCCAGTGCCCGACCCAATGGCTCCTAGGAAGTCAGCTAAAACCGATAGGGCGCCGATGCACAACCCCCCAAACGCAGCTGCTGTCGGGATGTACCTGGAACAAAGGAAAGGATTCGTCATGACACGTTTTCCTGCAAGGGTTCTAGCAAAACATCTCCTACTAAAAAAAAACCAACAAGAATATTTAGGGAAGAGTTTAGCATTGCAATTGCAACTCTGCCATTACATCTTATGATCTTCTAAATCATACTTACACAGCGTAGGAACTAAAATAAATATTCACTGGCAGGAAAGCTGCATAAGTAATTGACCACTGGCAAAGCTTTTTAGTTAACAGGGTAACTTTTTCTTGTTATATGAATACTTTGTAACCTCCACAGGACTGAAACCAATGATTTAAACATGCAAGGAGAAACCTGCCTTGCAATCCACACCTGCACGCTTCGCGTACTGCATCAAGTACCACTTCTGTAGCATCATCTTAGTTCAGAAATGGTAAATTAAACACCTGGGAAAATCAAGGTTTCTCCCTTTTAAAAAACATAGAAGAGATTCAACCCAAATTCCCTCCTTACTCTGCTTACACAAAAGACACTACAGGTTAATCTCTCACCTACTGCTGTATACATCTTTTGCATTACCGGGACAGCTGAATGGGAAGGATCTTGACATTTGTACTGGAAACAATCCCGGATTTTTCCGAGCGTATCTGCTCTAGCTGACACTTCCCCAGCACTCGTGCCCACCCAGCAGAGCAGCACAGCTGGAGGTCACCATTTCCTCACCTGTTAAGCTCGTGAACCATTGAAGTGTCCCTGTGGCCTCTCATCACCATTTGCTGCTCTTTGAGTTGCTTGGCAACCTGCGGAAACATGGTTTTATGAACCTGCTGCAGCATTTCACAGTCATCTGGTGTTTAGTCAGAGCAATAACCAATCAGTTAGGAGCTGGTCGGTTCTAAATTAGAGGCAGTGTTTGACAATACAATCATTAGGCACAGTTTAGCAGAACACCTACGTCTTTTGCCGATGAACCAGACACCTCAATCCAAGTCTTGGAGAAGAACGCACAGGATCCCAACATAAAAATTATATAAACTATGACATGGACGGGATCCTCAAATATTGCACCCATGGATTCTGGAGGGGACAAGTAGTAGCACAGGCCACCAACAGGGTAAGAACGAGCAGGGCCACCACCACTGACATCCTGTGAGAGGGGAAGAAAAGAAGCAATAAGTTCTCCCAGACCTCACCTTCCTATCCCGTGTTCACAGAGGAATTCCTCTTCTAAGTTTAAAACAGCTTTTCCCTACAAATGTTAGGAAATAAGCATTCCAGTTTTCTGCTGGTTAAATATCCAAGTCTCACCATGAAGTAATATAGATATATATTTATATATAATAATTATTTTAAGTGATAAAATACTTACTGCCCACTGTCCTAATAAGTTCACCAAGAAGTTGCCACTAAAACGAACAGACAACATCTGGGAAATAACATAGAGGTTCGAAACTAAGGCAGACTGCAGAATGATGGGAATGTTGGAGGTATAAAAGAGCTTGATCGGATAGCTGCTGTACTGTCCACGATACCGTGCAGACTTGATAGGTAGATCAACACGAAAGCCCTACAAGAAAAAACACAAATGCATCGAGTTTATTTCTAAGATAAAAATTATTCCTAGTGTGCCTAAAAGCTATCCCTGAAGATATCTGCTAGATAAACAAGGAGTGCAAACTCAAGGACAGTAAAGCCCAAAGGCTTTCAGCTGCAGCCTGCGTTACAGATTTTAGGGATTTGTAAGTGTTACTGCTTGGTCGCGTTACATTCTTTTTATATAAACATTCTCTCTCCAATGCTAAGTAACATTCCTCTAAAACGCACTTACTTTATAAAATATGGTTTGATAAAACCCTTTAATGGCTTTTAACTTAATTGGTGAGCACCAGGAGACTTACATTTGCAAGCCCAGACCTCTCTTTTCTGGGGTGGGCTCCTATCTCAGTAGGCCCAAAAAAGCCACATGAATTTGAAAACCACAGAATTCAAGTGTTTTTTTTTTGCCAGCACTCACTCTCAACAGCTTGAAAAACATCACGTTTTGGACACACCACAAAACCAAACCAAACCAAAAAAACCTTATGGGTCTACTTTAGTATCCATTTTAGCAAATACTCAAGGTTAAAAATAAACAGCTAAGTATTTCAAGAAAATCTTGGGGAAGTGGGAGTGCAGGGGAGAACACGACGCCATAAGCTATGTATTAATTACACAGTCATTTCCTGAACAAATCTGCATCATGCATGCCCCAAAGAAGCAAGGTTCTCTAGCTGTGGCCAAAAGCATTACTTTTTACCTCAACTATGAATATCATGTGCATTTGTTGTATGACACAAGCACTGCACAAATACTCTTATAGGCTGTATGGTATCCAACAGAATGTGAAATCACATCACTGCCTGCATACAGGTATAAAATTTAACAGCTGCACTGTCACAGAGGCACGGTACAGTACTGAAGTAACACTATTCAAATAAAAAGAATTCCTTACTCAAAGCTGAGATAACTCAGTTTTGTAGTTTTGCTTTTTTTTCCCTCCCTGGTGAGTGCACTCTGTGGAGTCCAAGCACTTCTACCTATGCAGTTTCACAGAGCTACTACGAGAAATTTCTCATTTTACCTGAAAATATATGACGACAGCAAACACAAATACTGTAGCAATCAGATTCATCAGATTGGGCAAATTCTGTCGGTAAAAAGCCTCCCGCAAAGCACGGACTTTGTCGGTTCGCGTAGCCAGAAGGTGAAATAAAGCAATCACAGCACCCTCAAACTCCGTTCCTACAAAAAGCAAAAAAAAACAAAAGAAGTTTTGAACTGTACATTTAAAACAGATTTAAAAATCTTCACAGCTTTCCTCAGG